CCGATACCTAATGACTTGTTGTGTGGCAAGATGGTTAATATGTTCAACTGCCCTGCATCAAGGGGATTGCATGGTCGACTTCAGTGGTTGGCTGTTCACTCAGAAATGAAAAATAGCAAAACATATACTGCTCCATGCCACACAGGTTAACAAATGACCAGTCAGTACATTCAGTGCTGTGTCAAACACAGAGTCTTTATTAAATTTCCCAAATACAATTCAACCGTTTTTCTCAGAAAGATGCATGTAAATGCAGTAAGGCTATATTATTTGCCATCGGCATATCTTATTACCAAACACAGTGAGGCCATGCCAACTCACAGAATACCACCCAAAGGAAATGAATATGAATGGTTTTGGTTGAGATACTTGTAGAAACATGTCCAAATTTAGTTATCTAAAATTAATGTTCATTTCAAATATTGGCAATAAATTTCAACTCTTCAGCAATGCGTTGTGTTGTCAAGCAATGCGTTGTGTTGTCAAGCAATGCGTTGTGTTGTCAAGCAATGCGTTGTGTTGTCAAGCAATGCGTTGTGTTGTCAAGCAAAGCCATTTTGACATTTGACACCAGCTATGGTGTACAAAACCAATCCACCTCTCCCCAAATCAAAAGTGTGAACAAATTGTTATCATAAATGATAATCACATGCCCAGAAATTAGAGTGATAAATGAAAAATATATCCACACTAGTGGACAACAGATTTAATAAAACAAATTTGGAACTACTTGTTGCAGCATAATACAAACTGAAACAGTAAACATGTTTCTTTTCAATATATCAATGAATGCTGTACATCAACGTCATAAAGAAAAAACTTTAGTTTAGTATTAATATTGGAAGCAGTATTTTGAAAAAAAAATCAAATTATAGATAACAATATTTGCAATTTGAATGTCGAATCATAAAGATATTTATAGCTTATGTATTTGCACAAATATACTAGTAAATGATGATATTGATCACTGTTTTGTGTTGCCCTATATAGAAAAAAAAACCTGCCTCGATTCCCTTATGAAGAACAATTATAGACATTTCATCACATTGTGCGCATCGCTGTTAGTCGTATACCCTTTATCTGCTATCCTGCTGGCATAGTAAATATATTATGATGCAATGTGTTTTATTTACTTTCAGATTTACGGTGATGTCTGGTCCAAGTTAAAACGATCTCTGGAGATTTGTTTAGGTCTTGGTATGTCATTAACTGGCGTCAACACATGTGGTGATTACATGTTTAGTGGTCATACTGTCGTCATCACAACATTCAACTTTTTTATCACTGAATGTAAGTATGACATTGAAAACATTAAGATGTGATTTAAGTCTTCACTCCAACAGAGGAGAACATTGTAGGTTTTAGTGATCCGAAAAACTGATGTCACCCTGCAATCAGGGTAATAATGAAACTAAGCTACGAGGGTCACTAAAATTGTACGTCTGCCTCTGTTTAAGTGAATAATTGTATTTGCTATGAGGTTGTTTACAAGTGCAGTTTATGTGTGACATTCAACAAAAAAATCGCAAAAAAATAAAAATAAATCAAGTACTGTAAAAGATGTATTAAAACTACGGCTTCTATTAAAATGGTACAAGGCAACAGAATGGATGCAGCCTCTATTAGAGCATCTACACATATGAGAAATGATGAATTTTTGGTTCTCAATTTTTCAAAAAGGTTTTAAGGTATCGTATTTGGTCTATTAGAAACGCATCTAAATTAGATTTAATTTGCATTTGTTGTTTACTAAATTATAATATTTTGACGATAGAAAAAGTATTTTGTAATTTTCTGTTCATCTTCCAAAAAAACATGCACCTTTCTTTGATAAAAATACAAAGTTACAAGTGTCAGATTCATCGATGGCAACACGTTTATTATAATATACAGTAAAAATGCCTCTCATTTAAATCAAAATGACATCGTTAGTTACACGCACCATTTTTTCTGAGCAATGTTAAAAAAAGAAAGCTCCCTCCCTCGTAATCAAATTCTAGTGATACGAATAAGAGAAAGCTATTAGTATGCAAATTAGACTGTAACACTAATTATAATTGGTTGCTGTTCCTACAAAAAGAAACATTGCTTGCTGAGTTGTATAGTCTTGTAAATTGAGGCAATGTACACAAACGGCCATTTATTCAACGCAAAATTTGTTCATTTTCAGATACTCCAAGAGATTATGACTTGTTACATACAATGTCTTGGGTCCTCAATATATTTGGTATATTTTTCATCTTAGCTGCTCACGAGCATTACTCGATAGATGTCTTTGTCGCATTCTACATCACGTCCAGACTATTTCTCTATTACCATTCATTGGCTAATAACCGATCATTACTAGACGGTGACCAGCGAACCAGAGTTTGGTTTCCTATGTTCAGTTTCTTTGAGTCCAAAGTTGATGGCATTGTACCAAACGAATATGAGTGGCCAAAATTCCCAAAAATGTTAAGACGTCATTGTGACTAACAAACTAGATTGTATCAAGGTTTCATAAGATAAGGGTATGCAAGGATCTGATAAATGATGAAGATCTCACGTTAATTGAAGAAGTCACATAAATTGTTGTAAAAAAAAAATTGCAAGCAAATTTCTAGAAATCCTACTGTTCCAGTGCATTCTGTGATGCTACTACATTTGAATAACACAAACAGAATGAGATGGCTTTCGATCATTCACTAATAGTGAGTTTGCTTCTCATGAGTTCTGCAATGCATATCACCTTACATAAAAATTGCATACCCTTATATTATGTATCTTTGCTTGTACACATGTACAGAATTTCTATTATTGAAAGAACTTTATCTATTAACCTTTTAATCACCAGAATAATTTCATTCATAGTCTTCTCTTTTCAACATAAAATCTTCACAAATTATCACAAGCTAGAAGCAATGTTATATTTTTGTTTGTTTGGTTCAAAATTAAGACTCATTTCAGATTTCAGTGAAAATTACAGAAAAATGGCAACAAATTTACACCAATTTTGATCTGAGATTTTTTCCTAAATATTATGAGACTATTTAATAAAATGTCTAATTTATTTGATCACTGTAAAATAATTATTCAGATTTGAATAATTGTCGCTGAAAATGCATTTGACTGATTTGTATAAAATTTAATTTCACTGATTCTTGATGAGTTTAGCAAAAATAAATTCTAAGTGAGAATTAAGTAAACATATTGTGTACTCAGCTTCAACAATTTTTAATATGTCAGAATGTTGGTGATCGTTTGAGCTTGCCATCTGATTGTTTGTCCAAAATTCATTTCATTACTCTTCTGCATAGTGCTTCAACACACTTGAACTCATAAAAGTTTTCACTTGAATTACGACAGGTCACATGGGTAAATTCTGGGAATTCTCACAGATTACACATTCCGAATATATTCATACCATTAAATATTTTATATCATAGAAATGATCTTAGATTGCAGCTTTATGGATCGACATAGCTAGAGATTTATTCTGTTATATTTTCTGTGATGCGCAAGGATTGCTATAATTGTTAAACATTTAATTGATTGAAATCAGATTGTGTGTAGAAACGCCCTCTAGTGGCGAATGTGAGAAATACATTCATGACTCAAGTACTGGCTGCATTTACAGTGGCTTTAAATAGTGTGTTTCAATTGAACCGTGCATGAACCATGCATGACATGGCAGTGCATGTCATATTGGAACACAACATGGCAGGGCTTTTAATAAAATATTAATATACACAAAATGCCATTACAGTTTTCCATAGGATGCTTGTATAATATTTATTTTTGAATATATTTTTGATAGTAGTTGATATATTCATTTCACTTATTTATTATTATTGTTAGAGTAATCCATGAATCAACAAATCAAATCATGGTACAAATAATCCATAAAAAAATATGTGGAAAACAGGGGTGAACAGTTTGATATATGCTGCCATTTTGAATATTGTTGTTCTAATAATTATTATTTTAACAATGCTTCAAACCTCAAATCAAACCTTACACTATATGAATTCTTCACTTACCCCCTGTTCTAATCCTACCGTAATATCTGCTGAGTATTGCCTAATCTTAAATTATTACACTTGTACTGCATGTAAATTAAAAAAAAATGTTGCTATGGTGACATTATTGATAACCCATGTTACACCAAATCCTTTATTATTTTTTAATTAATTATTCTTACAACTTGTATTTCTCATTTCATCTTGAGTTTTTTGAATCCTGATTCATTGATTTGTGAATTACCCTGACCATAATATTAACTAGATCAGCTAGGCTATCACTTTTATTAATATTTTCCGTCTTAAGATTGTTAATAAGTAATGATTTCTAAGAATAGACAAACATGACCCTTCTATCATTTATTATTTGCAAAGCCTTGGGAATGTTTAATTTATTTTAAGTTTCATGGATTAGTCAGTTGATTATTAGGCAGTGTGATGTAGTCAGCTGTTTGTTTTTTACTTCTGATTTACATTAAGTGTGCTTAACATCCCTGTGCAAATATATAGACTTTAATAAAAATAGCATTCAAATTGTGTGTGTCCGTGTTTATTTGTTCATATATGTTTCTCATTGCTAACTAGTCCTCCAGGGAAAACTTAACTGAGTAAGTTGTACTGACCTTGAAAACCTGGTTTTATACATTTGTCATTTTCTGAGTCGTAGATTTGGCTTTTGTGTGTTCAATTTAGTCATCAGGCATGTTCAATAAGACGTCGCTTGGAACCGACATTTTTGGGTTGGTGGCGTACTGAAGTTTGTGTCTGCTCTCAGTGTGATCATGTTAATATTTCGAAATCTGCCTGTGATTAATTGCGTCTTATTGCTAAACAGTGTTCTAACCTGGAAGAACAATTAGTTCTAACATTATTTCTATCGTCACTGCTGTAATCCCTAAAAATATGATCACATGTAAAAAATGCATGGCTAGTGTTCTACTAGCAATTCATTGGCTATTTGATTTCCACAATTCAAAGAGAAACATTTTTTTAAAACTGACTGTTATTACTATATTTGTATCTTGCCCATGAGGATAATAAAGTGATGAAATATACTGTGGATTCCATTTTCTATCAAAATTGATCAATTCCAGAACTGGACCCTTTTTGTTTGTTGACCTTTTTTGGGTCACGCTCAATCTTGGTACACACATTGAATATTTCAGCACGTTTTTACATGTCATTTTGTTATGCAAATCGGATTCAAAATGGCTGACTGTTGGTCATTTTGTTATAACATTTTACATTCTCTAGTACAAAATATATTAACAATGACAGGCACAGTATTTTTTTATATTGAGGTAATTACTCATGCATGGCTTTTAAATTTCAAGCTGTTTGAATATTTTATTCATCTTTCATTTTATCCTGTGCCAAAATTTAAAAATGATTAACATAAAAGTACGACTATAACTTTGATGGTACTTCTCATTTATCCTAATAATGATATACAATTATATTTATGTTATGTCACCTGCCAACGAGACACTTGGATGATTATCATATTCATACAGCTCAAATGTCTACAGCAAAATATTCAATATGAATATATTACAAATATGTATATATATATATATCGCTATTAATTAAGTGCTATCAACCCATTTATTTCTCAATAAATTTTATTAAAATTTATGTTGTACAGCATGTTTTTTGTTTGTTTTATTTCTATTTTTATATTATTTTGAATTTTTTTTCAATTGTATCACATCTTATTTTATAAGACAATACAATTATCAGCGATTTTTTTAAATATCAATCACTTATTTTTTGAGATTGTTCATATGAAGAAAAAAAAATCACCATGAAATGCGCCATCAACGGTCAACAAAGTCTACTTTGTTTTTATAGAAAACTACTGTACCAGTATACGAAAATGTAATTGTTTCTGACGATGAGGTTAGAAAGCGGCCTTATTGAATTATACATCAATCATTCACGTCACGTGATCTGGTATAAGAACTATATATTCACATGCATCTGCTGTATTTGAAAATTACGATACGATACTCATGTTATAGCATAAAAAGCGACCTTAGTATGCGTTCACATCACTGTTAAATAACGCGCATTGAAAATCCGTATACAATGACCTCTGGTGGCGGGGTTAATGAACTCGGGAGTCATAGCCAAAAATAAGAAAGTAATTTGATTACAAAATTTAAATCCGTTTGCGGAATCTTCTCTTGGCCTGCGCAAAATATGCTATCACGATATGTCACGTGACCAGACATACACATACCATCTTGTCACGATATTAAATTCTCTTAAACATTCTTTCCCCGAGGGGGTGTTGCTATATATTTTCCACACAGGCTACATTGAATTCACAAAATATACCAAATAGAAGTAGCACCCCTCCTTGTAATGATATAAACCGTATGAATTGTTTGGTACAGTCTGGTCTTGTCTTGATTGGGGCCAAGAAAAGGGGAGATATTAATGCAGAATTCTCGTACACATCGATTGTAACAGATATTATAGTCGTAAATACACACCCGGAAAATAGATCAAATCGCTAATTATTGTCCCGGCAATACTCGTGTATATATATATATTTATATCCGTGCAAACATTCGCACAGCTGTGTGTTCACAGGAGCCCAGTAAACTAGTTGTTAAAACGTCTACCCTTTTGCGTTGAGTAGATATCTATAGTTTATCGTATACGAGGGGTCAGCACGATGCGGCAGTGACATACGGTATTCATTTCATACTGGCAGTACTGAGGTTTAGGGTCACGCTGTTTCTTGCATTACTTGTCTATTTCTACGGGCTGCATGACAAGGATATTATATCATGTATTTATTTCTCTTGGTATTATCGGCTGTTCTCCTTGCTGTGTTTAAAGTGTACACCATTATGACAACTCATTTAACAACTACGGAGATTGACTCTGATGCAATATGGGGCGATCTCCGCGAAACTCAGCGAAATGTGGTGCATTTTATGTGTTTTGAGTCTCCGCTTTGGCTGCGAGCATTCCAAATCGGATTGAAGTTCATCACCGGGCCGTATTTCCGACAGGGTATGAGAAAATGCGTCGTGTCTGAGCGGATGAGTGAGGACGATCTCGGTGAACATTCACCTTACCGTTACATCGGGAAAAATCTGTGGCCTGAAAATACGTTAGAAGACAATTTTCCAAACGGACTGCCTACATCCAGCGAGGGCAAACATGTAGGAATGTGGCCGTTGAGGATAACACACAGCGGGTCATATAAGGTAAGGGGTATCTTATTATAGGAAGTCTCAGCCCCGATGTTTTCAAACTTTAAATACCCTTTAACATCGACGTTGTTCTACTAAAGAATGGGCTATGTGAACGCTCTGTACAATAACTTACTAAAAAAATACAATGCACTGTCATATCTTCTAACTTTATCAATATGTCATGACCCCGAAGTTCACGAGCCGTTTAATCGCATGACTGGGCAGGTTTTTCATTATTTTCTTTTATCAATCAAATTGTACTGTATTGTTAAATGGTCTGTTCTTCGAGATCTTATTCCTGAAATAGTATGTGCAAAATTAAAGCCTTGGGAAAGTGATCGGACGGATTTTAATATTTGTTTTGTATCTGGCGATTCCCCCGAAACGAGTTGCCCGTTTGATGTCAAATGAGGAATAAATATTTCTATGATCACGTGAGTCACTGAGTATGTCATAGTCATTATTAGCGAACACGCTGGTTACGCCAAATACCATCAACTTTATTTCAATATCAACACGTCACAAAACGTGCTCTTTCTTCCTTCTTTCATCGTGCATTTTTCAATATCATGAGGCGGAATATGATTGTTTTAACCTGATATTTCTGCCCGGGTGTCATACTTGTCCGGGTGTTCTTCTGTACTAGCCATTAGTTACTACGTCGGCACGTGGTCGTTACCGACATTGCCCCCACCCCGTTCACACAGTCAATTTAGATGAAACGAGACAAATAAGGCTATATCACACATGTGGCATAAGTCACATGAGTATGTGGCATAAGTCACATTAGAAAATTCAATTAAAAGGATGCGGTACCCGAGCGTGTTTCCATGGTAATAGCATGTAGCATTATTTCTGCGATCATCCCGAGGCGATGGTGTTGAATCGAAATTTGTCGGAATATCGAATTTTAACAGTTATTTCTGGTACCCGAATATAAAACTTAGTTATTATTGTTGATCTGTCTGGGTTCGAAGCCGGAATTTTCTGTGCTGTTCTAGATTAATTATTATGAGTGTACCGAATAAGGGACACTATCTGATAAGTGATCATGCACATAATCCATATATGCAACGAGAAATAACACAATATCACAGAGAAAGAAATATTGAATCGATGTCATTTTTGCGGATTTGATATTGACGGTACATTCCATGGTCAACATTGCATAGGGATTGCATTTTTACAATTTCTTGTGTTTAGTATTCAACGCCAGACAACTAATAATTGTCTGAGATTCAACGAAATAAGATTAGGAACGTTAGACAAACATGTCGACAGAAAACGACACTAAGCGAAAATAAAAGCCAGTAAATAATTGAGCCCTGCACAGTAGTTGGTTGCTATTTGATATTCTAGATTGAGTTTAACGTGTTGGCGACAAAATCAACAATGTCACATGGGATGTCTCGTGAATCGATTTGTCAATTTACGGGTACATATGTTTGATTGTTCGTTGTTTGTACACTCTTGAATACCCACTTACGTGTCTACTGATGATAATGATATGAATGGCACCGCGAGTAACACATTGTCGTGTTGTGACTCGTATAAGCCGCTATAACAGCTGTATTTGTGGTTTAAAAATAGCGTTGTTACTTGTAATTATTCAACATACTGCGTTGTGAGCGTGAAATTAATACCACCGTCCGTATGGTATAATTTATTTATTATTCCACCCCACGTAAGCGCCACGCCCTAAACAAACATGCTATATACGTTTTTAGCAGAGCCGACAGATGTATGGTTATTGTGATCTCAACAACCCTCCCACACTTGCAGTTGTTTATTGTTTTAGAAGCCCAGTGCAAAAAAAAAAAGCGCGAACGTTACAAAAAACAACAACAGTAGTTGAAGTAGTTCGCACGTGGCCCTTTCGTTACATTTAGTGATGATTTACATTCGGACAGCCATGCTGGGGGTTCGAGGCCATATTTCTCGTGACGGAGAGAAGTGGTGGTGTCTCCATTGTTGTTTGCAGTACAGTCTGACTTGTGAGCCTATGTCATAACGTGAATGAGTTTTTTGTTGCTTGGGGTCGACATTGCATACACTTGTGCTCGACTGAGCGTTCCATGATCATGCCGTTACTATAGGGACCTGTATGCACAAATTGTGTGCGTTGAATAATCGTCCCTCAATGGTTGGAACTGTCACACATTCATCGATTTCGGGGTTGAAGTAGATTTTGTCAACAATCATGTGACTAATTATTGTACTCTTATGAGGGTATCTGTATTGCATGGTAGTTGTATAATGTTTGCATTCACTCAACTTTGAGGTTAATGCACTATACAACGCACTGGACATAAAACTAACACAGTTATCGAAACCCCGGATGATACACCTTTCAAATAAATCGCGCCCTCTGGTGACGAAACACTGCGATAACGTAATTAGATGACACGTCATCCTTTTGATTCGTTCTTGTACAACAATGAAGATTATGTTTTTAGAAATATTTACTACATATCTAAACATAATTAGCAATTAAAACCAATGTTGACGTCCGTGAAGCGCTTCGCCGCTAGAGGGCGCGAATTAAGGAATGGTGCATTATCGTCTGTTAATGACGACACAAGTAATATTCTATGAAAACAAGTAAGAGTAAGTTGTTGGCGAGAAATATTCACCGTAATAGATCGTGAGACACTAGGAGATCAATAATACCACCACCACTAAATTTAATTAGACAACTCTAAAATTGTTACAAAAACTGTGGTCCATCTCATTCTTATCACGTGACATGAATTGACAAACGTATATCTATGCCGCGTCGACTCGAAAGACGTGTCCTAGACGTAATCAGTGATTTAATATGATGATTTGTGTTGTCATGTTAACGTGAATTCCACAGACTGATACAGGGGCCTGGGTATGTACGCTCGAGGTGATTTACCGAAGAGTCGCATTCAATTATACATGTGTGACAATCTAATATATTTGAACTCTGAACAGTCGCACAGAGATTACATTGAAATTGGATGCTTTTAAATGTGATATGATAGTCAGTATGTAAACGTTTACAGGGTTACAGGGGATGGTTCTGTTTATAGTTGCAAAATATGTAACTATTGTGCATACATTATACTAGTAGTAGATGTGACGGGCATTACTGTGTCAATTTTTTTTGTCAGTCAGCACGAGTCCATATATAGACACTCGTCTGGAAATGATCAGTTATAGCACGGTTATTAACCGTGGTTATATTACTCATTATACTCAGGGATAGATTTTATTCACTCCTCGCAAATGATATATATAGCTCACTACGTGTTGTTAGAAACAGATGATAATATTGGCGAACGTGCGAGTACTGGACTCTACCACTATGATATAGGTATGGAGCGTGCTAGAAAAAAATGATGGTGTGTGGTTTAATGGTTAGCGTGTTCGCACAGCATTGCAGAGATTGCGGATTCGACCCCTATGAAATGAAGTACACACTGCCAACAAGCTCTCGGCATTCAGGGATATGAATTATAACGTCTAGTCGGATGTCACGTAAAGATGTGTTGAAATTTCCCTCATTCTAAATCGGATAGGTCGACGTCTCTCCCCCAACGTTTTTCGGAGGCGACCGCCCCATGTCGCCGCCGAATACATTTGAAAACACATGTCAGTATATCGTGAGATCTAATTAATAAAATGATTAGAAACTAATTTTAGTTTGTTGTTTTGCAGATCTATTCTAGTGATTTCACATGTAGTATGATGCCAACAATGGTGGCAGATATCAACCACTCAACCACGTCCATAGCTAACACGGAAAAATACATTATCTTCTTCAAGAAAGACAGTAGGTTTGCCAGGCTACTTGGCGATCGGGTGAAAAGTGTAGTAGCAGAATTTGTTCACCACGAAACCTTCCAAGGTTATATTATATACAAGGTATTGGAATCGTCGGGAAATCCGTTAGAAAAGTGAGTACCAAGGCGTGTGGGGGCGCTATTGATTGCTATGACCACGGTTACGGAGACGGTTACGAGTTCCAGTAACCGTGCTTTGACAGACTGATTGCAGCGGATTGTGGGTGCAATCAATGATAACGTGCAGGGGGTTATTGGTCTATATGCTATATATCTATATATACATAACAACTTTTGGGCATTCCCAATGCGATTCACATTTCAAATTAACTGTTTATAAATGCCACGTGTGTTTTACACTGGTCTCCACATTGAAACTTGCAATCCAGTCAAGGTAAAAAAAAAATAAAAAAAAATAATTGTTATTTATTCCCAATCTTAAAATATCTGCTGACAAATTGTTTGAAAAATTATTATCATATTTTTATCGGTAGATACTGTGAATGGGTATTGGAGATGTATTTCTCGGAAGGCGGACTTCAACCAACCACAATTCACATGGGCCACATCGCTGCTGAACTCGATAACGACGGGTATGAAGTCACTTATGCCGGGTACAAAGACGTCTTTACTTTAAAGCAGGAAGAAATAGACAAAAAGAAATGAGACATTCCGATCGTCGTGAGTGATGTTGTCGCTTTCTAGTGAAATGTGTTTCACAGGCTGGTGTCATGTGACACACACGTGACACACGTGAGCCGAGTTGGTGTGCTCAACTGAGATTCATGTGGTTACAGAGAATTCTTACGTCAGAACCAAAGAATGCAGCTTTGAAGAACAAAAAAAGTGTGTGCGAGTAGATGTGTTTCTCTTTTAATAATTGTAAATTCGTGCATGAGGAATGTAACACAATATTTGAAAACAAATAGTGCCTTTGATAGTCGATTTAATCGACCAAATATGATTTGAATTCGGAGACCTAAAATTAGCATTGATATTTTTTTTCAATAACGGGATCACCGTTACACAAGTTTGTCTGTTATAACTATTGCACGCTTTGATATTTTTTCATTAAAAGTGTAATATACAAAATATAACTTTGTAGAAAAATCATTGTGTAATTACACTCTTATTTCAATCTTTGAGTCTAAATACGGAAGTATATATTGGACAAAGTAGTTTCCGGAAATTCTTGATGCAGATCATTCATAGCGCGTACTGCAGATCTGTAGGAATCAAGCATATGCAACGACTCGAATATTCAGCACTTAATTCCCGGATTGACGAGAACTGTTTTCAAGTGGTTGGGAATGAGAAGTAGCAGTTAAAGCCCAGTCACTTAACGGCTCAAAACGTGAAGTTAAAGGGCGGTGGTCGTCTTGCCGCGTTCTGGCCATAGCGACGCATACAACGCGTGTAAAATACCATGTTTGTTTACATTCCTTTATGAGGGGTTTATTTTGGGTCAAACTCCTAACGCTCGGAATAATCATCATCGTCGTAGAGGGCAGTGCATAACAGCCGACATCCTGGCAACTAACGTGAAATTGTTTTTCGTTATTATTTCATCATTACATATATATTTGAAGTTGATTGGGTGTGCTTCAGTATTCATGACAATTTTCAAATCTATCAATGAATGACCACTAGATGTTAGTTTACTATTAGTATTAGACGGTTTTAAGCATGTTTGAAGAAAAAAACACGTCTCTGGCACTCTTATACGGCATGTTATTAAAACTGGTGATTACACATTTTAATTCATTCTAGTAGCCCTCGTTCTTTTATTAAAACGCCCTCACCATGGAGAAATAACAAATGATACCGAGCAATGATGCCGAGCAATATTCATGCGTGATTATCTTTTTGCTATGTAACCGAGTACGCTCTGACGCCAAACCATGCACAAAGGGAAATACTATTGTGATTCTTCCTAATTAGTTTCGTGACAGCATAGTTTGTGGCGAGTGTGCCCCCAGCGACGGAATTCACCGTATTCGATCGACGAGAGCGCGATTCACGCCTGCATGATGAAAGTGTTTCACGCGACAAGAAACTGGAAAAGAACTCGAACATTATAATAAAAAGTAACGCTCTACAACAACCATAAACTTGAATAGACTAATATTTATTAACAGTAATGAGATAACAAACATTGAAAAGACAAATTCATTAAAACCCGTCCAGTGCGTGCGAGTCGACGATACATAAAAACAAAGAATATACACACATTGTTTTATATCGATTATGCTTAATTAATTTTTCAATTCACTGTGGATATCACATACATTATGTCAAATATGTAGTTGAATTGTCTGGGATGGGTTCTTTTTTTGAGCTGAATTTTCTGGAATGGGAATCTTTTTTTGAGTTGAATTGTCCGGGATGGGGTCTCTTTTTGAGTTGAATTGGCTGGGATTGGATCTCTTTTTGGCCTGAATTCTCTGGGATGGAACTCGTTTTGAGCTGAATTGTCTGGGATGGGATCTTTTTCGAAGTTGAATTCTCCGGGATAGGGTCAATTTTTGAGCTGAATTGTATGGGATGGGATCTCTTTTGAGGTTGAATTGTCTGGTATGGGGTCTCTTTTGAAGTTGAATTGTCTGGAATGGAATCTCTTTTCAAGTTGAATTGTCTGGGATGGAATCTCGTTTTGAGTTGAATTGGCTGGGATTGGATCTATTTTTGGCCTGAATTCTCTGGGATGGAACTCTTTTTGAGCTGAACTGTCTGGGATGGGATCTATTTTTGAGTTGAATTGTCTGGGACGGGATTTCTTTTTGAGCTGAACTGTCTGGGATGGAACTCTTTTCGAGTTGAATTGTCTGGGATGGGATCTCTTTTTGAGTTGAATTGTCTGGAATGGAACTCTTTTCGAGTTGAATTGTCTGGGATGGAACTCTGTTTGAGCTAACCTGTACACATTGCTTGTATTTTAGTTTATTGTGTGTTTATATCATGAGATCAGTTTATTGAGGTAGCTAAGACCAATGGTGTGTTGTTTGTATAATGATACGTTGTTTTCAACATTAAAGTTGTCTCACTTTATATTACGTGCAGAACATCGCCTTGTTATGAACATCATAAGAAATGATTAAATAAGTTGGTTCAGGCCAACAATTCTGAAATGTTGGAGCACTGAAGCTTGTCTGTATTTAAGGTATAGATGCAGGTGACACTTGGGTGATTTTTTTTCTTACCACTCAGCCTTGGCAAGATAGTGCTAAAATTCCAGAGCCTTGTCAATGGCGGAACAATGACGGAACTTGCATCTATACATTAACGGAAACAGTGTCGTCACGTGGTATCTAATTCACAAATCAAACGTAGGACGTACTATTAAAATTAGTAGTGATTTGTCGTAACAATTCCAAAGACGGTAGGTTTTACTATTATACTAGATTATAGTACTAACTATTTTTTATCATAGACAGATAATTAACCGGAATACATTCGAATAATTATAAACAGTGTAAACACAGGCAGTTTTTTCTCGAATTTGAGAAGGGAATTTCCTTATATGTTGCATCCGATATTAAGAGTACAAACCGGGCTTTAAAAACGAAAGTTTCTTATGTTTCATGATACGTACGTCACTGCCCAGGAGATGGGGTGAGTCGATAAGTTGTTTTAAAATGGAGAGCTAAGTTTGTTATTTTGATATAATCACGAATACATTAAGTTCTAATTCACGGAATCAATTTTCTAAGATATTGAATAATATTTTTTTTTATTATTAGAAATGTTTCTGTCCCAAGATTGGGTTAAATGTACGTTAAGTGCTCTGCTGATAAAATATGCTCTATAAATATGATTAATGTCCCAAGTCATCATTTTCTTATCAAACATTATATCCCACGTGGTAAATGCTTGTTTAAAAACTGCTCCAGGAACTACGTTATTTAAAGTTACCCCGTCGGGTGCGTAATTTTAATGGTAAAATGAATAACTAAAATAAATAAATAAAAAACAATAACGCCACACATTTTTTGAGGCTAATGGGCAATATATATGTGGACGAACAAAAATTACGTTAAACATACGTTACCGTGATAGCGAACTAGGGCAAAATAGAGAAATTACATTAGGCTAGTAAGTTGGCAAGAACCTATTATACGTCGTGCAAGTCTTCCGAAGTTTATTTAGCTGAAATGTACGTTACTCAACATAACGTACATTTCAGCAACGTAATATTACATTCAGTATCATCGAGTGTTACCATTATAGAACGAACGTTTATAAATTGGCTTGTTTCACTTTCAACTACCATTTGATTTCACGATCTTTGATTATGCATAATTTTTCTCAGTATTATAGTAGATTGTATTCGGAGTCTTTAAATAAAGATACTTATATCTTATTTATTGCATGGACACTCGTCTGTGTTTTAACTTGAATACGTCGATTTGTAATGAAGTACAGTAGGCGTTCCAATAACAGCGAATTGTTGTTTAAAGTTGAAAAAAGCGAAGGAACAACTTTGAAACAATCACATTAAAGGGACCGTACAGTTTAAGTATCACATTTTTCACACACTTGAAACCACCAGAAGTTACTCATTGGAGCGGATTTCCGACCAACAAGAAATGTTGTAGGTACTGTAAATTGTTGAAAATATATTGGAGAAGTTTAGACATACTAAATTCAGATGCCCTGTCTCACTGGAACAGTGAACAAATTGTACTTCAAACGACCTCACCCAAAATCCAGCTGATCAAATGCTGTTTTCAAACATTGCCATAGACGAGGGAGCACTTCACTGACCGGAGAACCGTTGACTTAATTTACTAGAATGATAAAACTACCAGCCCATAAGTCTATCTTGTTTTAATCCAACTATCGTTATAATCTTGTTTTTGCTTTGGAACACAGTGAAAATATAAACGTGTTGGTTTGGCTGGAGATTAAAGAAAACATTAATAACACATGGTGTTTTATTCGTTTTTTTTTCAAAGGTGGAATGGTACCAGTTTATTCACAGTAGTAAAACTAAAAGTTATAAAAAATACTAGTCACATCTTTATAGAAGAAAAACTGGGGACTAAATTCAGGTTGTTTTAGAATGATCACGTAACACAGGTACGTTATGTTAATTGACTCTTTAGAACCTTATTTTCCAACCGATTTCTATCAGACCACTTACTGTGTGGGCGTTTTGTTTCCACTTCCCCTCGACTCAGTCAAGTGCAATTAAGATAAGAATCTTCCGGCGATTATTTGTGCTCATATTAGAGTTTATTTGTTAACCTTTACTTTGAGCGGCGCCCTCACGGTAACACTTTATATATATAGCTTATATTTATAAGTTCCTATAAGAGTCGTACCGGCGTAGATTTGATAGTTTCTCATAAACTATTTTTTTCTAATTTTCTTGTGACATAAGGTCATTTTTATAACATCAACAATAGTTGTCCTAATATAACTGTGGTTGGATATCACAATGGAAAACAGGATTCGTACTATAACGAAGTCTGGTGGGGTATATATATAGAGAGAGAGTGGCGAGACGGTATTCTACAGCAAAGAATTACATGTATCATATAATGTTGAGTGAAAACAGCTAAAGACTGTCAACGATTCACGTCATGTAAATACACACCAGCTGTATTTACTTTAGAGTGTGATCACTTATATGTTAGTATTACTAAACTTGATTGTAACAGCCAAGGCTATGTTGGTTTACCACAGGAGTACATGTAATTTCAAAGGAAAATACTATGGCTCAATGCGAATATAATTTGAATCATTTATATGGAACAAATTGTGCCCGATGATAACTGTATATGCGAAAAAATAAAGCATTTTAATTAT